CAGCATTTTAATCACATTAAGTGGTTGGAATATTTTTATTTCGTGTTTGATTAAGTGGTTGGAGGTTGAAGAATTGATACATACAGCTTCAATTAATTAATTTATTAATATAATTTGCCAAACTTGAACCGTATATTGTTGTTGACCAATTTATTGTTCACACGTCAAAATTTTTTTTTTTAATTTATATAAATTGGTTGAATATTTAAATGACGTGAGTTTGTCTGTATTTCTTAGGTCGAGCTTGTTACATGTTACGCCCAATTTGGTTTACGTTTTTTGAGTAATATGAAATCTATTGCGCGATAAATTAAAATTTATCTTAATTTATCCAGTACTGTAATTATATGGTTGGCTACTGTTCTTTAATCATATATAAAGAAATAGAGAATACTTATTTCAGTTTTTGATTAAATAAAAGAAGGGCATAATTGTTTTTTTCGCCCCTATTAGTTTCACACTTTAAAAAATAGAAAAGATGTATTTATTGCCATGTGAACCGTCGGATCCAATCAAGTTGGCTCTAAGTTTATAACTTTATTTATTTATTTTTCAATCAAGATACAGTAAAGTTCAGATAATAAGGGTTTACGCACATTCATAAATTTTGTATAATTTCATATAATAACTTTTATAAATATTAAAATTTATTTTATTTTATAATTTTGAAACTCTGACTAATTCATAGATTGTTATATAATTTGGGGATCCACATAAAATTTGTTTGTGCTTTGATTGACTCTTCGTACGAACCTACTTTCTCCGCACCATTTTATTAATTCTCTTTATCAGAAAGAAAATATTATTCTCGTATCAGTCATCGTTTCGAGACCCCTGATCATTTTTGTAAAGAGATGATCATAAACATAAATAATATTATGTTTATTTGAGAAATATGATATTAGTTAATGTTGAGAAAATCTCGTTAGAAAAGTAAATTTGAAATTATTATTATTTTCATCAAAAAATTAAGATATTTATGAATTTTTAATCTCAATGCTAGGATTAAAATGAAAATAAAACGACACAAACGAAGTATTTTAACATGTTCTAGTTTCTAACTAGTTTGCAAATCAATTCGAGCCCTCAATCAGACGTTTGAATTATAGAGAGTTGGTACCTAATCTGACTACTAAATCGCAATTTAGGGTTCTAATATTTCTCCCTTATTTTTCTATTTGTAAATTGTAAACGAATTTATTCTATTTATCTTTTTTTATTTAATTTATTTTATTTAGGAGAAAGAGTTGAAAGTTGGCACCTATGCAAAACAATTGTGGACCAAGCATTTAACTTCATTAAATTGGCCAGCCCAAATAAGTAGATCCTACAATCATAAATGCTTAAGTTAATCTTTGATTGCCCGGATTAATCATCATCTTACACGTGTACACTGATCTTCACAAATGGACGACCCTGATTGATTTGATCATCATACAATTGATTGTATAATATGTGCTTCGCCACATTAGGAAATTGCTTTGACAACTTTTATTTTGATTTTTTAATCTGATAAGTGAGACTTCGAGAATGTGGTAATTAATTACTATATTTGCATAGGCCCAGTTCAATATGGATAATGTGAAATGATGTCCAAAAAAATTAAAATAAATAAATAAATAAAAAATAATATTAATAATAATAAATGGATAATGTGATTAAATAGAACGTGATAAACTCTTTTTAATGAATAATAAAATATAAAATCAAAATCCCTCGCTAATAAATTGTAATCCGTCACAAATATGTTAGTAATTTGTCAATAATTAGTGACAAATTATTTGGTCGTTGAATTTCCGTCGGTGAAGTTCTATTTTCTTATAGCGTAAAATGCTAAATAACATAACATTTTAAATTGAAGGTGAAGTCATAGTGATAAAGCCAACTGAAATTTCAAATATATACAAGATAGTATAATAGTATGGATATTTGAAAAAAAATGTTAAGGTAAAAAAAAATACTATGTTAAAAAAATTGAATTGTTTAAAATACTTTTAGTATAAGTTGAAACATAGCTTCCATGAGTGTAAATTCAAATTCTCACTTCGTTAATAAAGTGCTCTTTTTTTTTTAGTGATGTGTTCCCCTAAAATCAATATGCATTTATTATTTTTTGTTATATTTTTTCACTATGAGATTGTACACAAAATAACTTCCTATGTTCCATAATAACGTCTCTTTAAAAATATGTTTATTCCACATTATCTGTCATTTTAGATTTTCTATACTGCATTAAATGTTTTCCTAAAATCAAAACACATTTATTTACATTATTAATACTTGTGCAAAGCTGAAAAACGACATTAATTGAGAATGGAAGATGTACTAAATAGAATTGCCAAGATAAAACACTATCTTAATTGGTTGCAGTGGATATATAACATAATGAATCAAAGATGTTAAAGTACTCACATCATTAATTTGAGCAAGAAAAAGTAAATAAAATTAAACAATATTAATTAATTTGCTTAAACATTATTGAGTGGAATAAAAAAAAATGTGGTTGCCATAATAGCATAGTTTAATCTAATTAATTTGCCTAAACTTTTTAAAGTGTAATAAAAGAAGAATTTAATGTGGTAGGCAGACTCATTTCTGCTAGTAGTAATGTTAATTTGTACTGATTATTAATAAATGACATAGACATAGAGTATCCATCTATTATACTTATACACCAAATAGTTGATAGATAAATAATTTATGAAAAAGCCGTTCCGTGCATTCTAGACTTTATAGTTGGTTGGAAATCGAGATGAATTTTCGAATTCTGCCGATTTCGATTCGAAAATATTAAAATTTGGAACTGTATTTTCATTCCGAATTATAAAGTTCTGATTTCTGATTTTTTTCGACTTTTTGTTAGGGACATATAATCGACATTATATTGTATATAAAATTACTGAAAATTTCGATTTCTGATCCGATTTTAGTTCTGAATGTTCCTATTAATTTTCGAAATATATACTACAATTTTATGTTATGATCTGTAATATATAAATACCCAAGGGCCAAGTAAACTAAAACCTTAAATCCTATACGTGGTTTTGTTTATTGCATTTTGTTGGATTCTCTTTTGAATTTTCTTTTATTTTGCTTAATATTACGAAAAAGAGTGAACAAATATTATAAAATAATGCGATTTCCAAAAAAATCGAAACTCCGTCGATTCCGAATTATTCCAAAATAATGATGAATTTTTGAATTCCAATTTTTCTGGAACAAAAATTAAAACCCATTTTTAACTTCAAAGAAATAATGCATATTTACAAGAGTCACTACAAAAGAAAATCTTTTGAGTGACAACACCTATTTTTCACATAGTTAGGCAAAAAATGTTGTCACTATGCTTGTCACTAACGGGGTGTCGCTAATGCTCTATAGTGACAATAAATAAGGATTAAGTGACAACAAAAAAAACTATTAGTGACAATAAAAAAAATATTGTCACTTAATGTGTGCATTAAGTGACGACTTTTGCATTTGTCACAATTAGGGTGTCGCTAATGCACTTTTTCTTGTAGTGAGTTTATTGGGCTTACAGTTATATTGGACATTTAACGCA